ACCAGCAGGCCCAGTGAGGAAGAGAGCAGGAAAAGGCTTGGCACAAATGGCCCACTGGAGCGCTGAGCCTGCCCCTCAGGAAGGGAAGAGACCCTTCTGGGGGGAGGCCTGGGGACAGGTGACTGTGCTGTTCTCTGAGTTCAGATCAGCCTACTCCTCATTTTTCTGTCCCAGCTCTGGGAGGCTTGGTTTCCTTCAAATGCCACTCTGGGAGAAGGTGGTGGCCAGCAGGGTCCCCAGGATGGCCAGGGTACAGGGCCACAGTAACTCCCCTCCTCCCCCCACATCTTGGACAGACAGGACCCTGGGCAGTGCCTCTCTAATCCGGAGTCAGGCCTCTGGGCCACAAATAGCAGCCCAGGTGATCTACAGTTCATTTAAACTCCTGGCTGGAAAGTAGGAATCAGGCTTAGAGGGGCAACTCTTATTTTCATTTTTCATCGTTTCTGCGCTCAGTGAATTCCTCCCTCCCCTGGCTCTGACAGACCTGTGCGCCTGGCAGCTTTCCTGTGGCAGATTATGCTCTCACAGACGCCTGACAAAGCTTTTAGTGCCCCCCCATCCTCCCCACTTCAGGGGACTGAGCGGCCTCCACGCACAGCTAGAGAGTCTGCATGCTTTATTCAGGCCCTGGCAGCGAAGGAATAAAAACGGGCTCCCCACCCAGCCGCCCAGCCAGCCCTCCTGACTGGAATTGCTTTAAAAAATTAACTCGCAGATATGGAGATATGTGTATATGTATAGCTGATCACTATGTTATAAAGCAGAAACTAACACACCATTGTAAAGCAATTATACTACAATAAAGATGTTAAAAAATTAAAAAAATGATAATTTGCAATGATTTACTCCCTTTTGTTCTATGGGGATCACCAGCATTTTAAAGATGTATTTAGGGGCTTCCCTGGTAGCGCAGTGGTTGAGAGTCCGCCTGCCGATGCAGGGGACGCGGGTTCGTGCCCCGGTCCGGGAACATCCCACATGCCGCGGAGCGGCTGGGCCCGTGAGCCATGGCCGCTGAGCCTGCGCGTCCGGAGCCTGTGCTCCGCAACGGGAGAGGCCACAGCAGTGAGAGGCCCGCGTACCGCAAAAAAAAAAACCAAATAAAAAAAAAAGATGTATTTAAATCAGATTCACTGCTCCCAGTTAAACCTTAACTGCCTCCCCCCAACCCAGCAGAAAGAGCACTGGATTTGGAGTCGGGCAGCGACTCAGCAGTTCACGCCAAGTTCTGCTAATGACGAGCTGTGTGACCTTGGGCAAATTACTTAACCTCTCTGCGCCTCCATTGGCTCCTCTGGTAACTGAGGTTAATGATAATCCTTCCCTCACAGGGTGTTGTGAGGATTAAATTAGATAACGTTCAGGGAAGAGGCATGCAATGCCACGCCTGTGTTTTCTGTTCCCCGATACTGGCTGTCCCTCTAATTAGCCTGGTGACCTTGGGTGGGCCACTCAGCCACTCTCGGCCCTCAATTTCTGCATCTGAAAAGCACAGGGGTTGTTCTAGGAGATGATGCCACTGAGCCCCCCACCTCCAGCCCTGAGCCCCCACTCACCTCCTCCTGCCCTCTGCCAGACACCTTCCCTTGGCCACCCCTTTCCTCTTTATCCAAGCACTCATCTCTAATTGGAGGTGGTCCCCTCCCCAGCTGCCTCTCCTCCTGGCTCCCTGTGAAGTCTGCAGGGTTGGGCCCCAGGGGCCTGTCGTTCTTGGCTCATTTTCAGGAGCAATTAGCTACAGGCCTTGGAGGTGGCCTCCGTGGGCGTGTGGCCAGGCCACTGGAAGCCAGGACTCTGCTCCATCTGTGGCCTGCGGGGCTCCCCCAGGCCCGGGGGTCCCCATTGCCAGTGGTGGGGAGGCAGATTCCCAGGCAAAGCCATTTCCATTTCTGTACTTTATGACTCCTCGAAGCCCCGAGTCTGAGTGTAAATTAGTTCTACCCTGTGCTTTTGTCGGCAACTGTCTGTTCCTTGGAAGCGAGGGGCTTTGTCAGGAAGAACAAAGCTGTTTGGTGTTTTTCTGATTTGGGGGAAGCGTGCTCCTGTGGGAGGGCTCATCGCTTCTCAGTGTCAGTTCCGAGTCCTTGGTTCTCAGACTTGCTGGTTTTGTTTTGGGTTTTTAACTCCTATGGCTTAAGAGTCACATATGTTTGTGTGTGTGTTGGCTGAGGGATTTTTTTTTTCCCTCCTTTTTGGCTTGCATAGTGTATTCCGTGGAAGCTAATTCCAGGGACTGAACTTTTCAAATCACTGCTTCAACAGCTTTTAAAAATCTGGACGTAGTTACTCCTGTCATCCATGTGTAAAGATTTAGAAAAAATTCCCAACCCGAGGGTGGGCAGCCTCAAGGATGCACAGCTCCTGGCAGCCCGCACTCGCTGGAGACCTGAGGTCAAAGCCGAAATGTCGAGCTCCTCTTGGGACGGGAGGGGGCGGGAGGAGTGCGGTCTGCTCGGTGCCAGACATCTGGATATTTAGAAAACATCTGGGTGGCTGGATTTTTCAGGTTTCTGCCTGACATTTAATATCACAAACATTGAGCCTGCCTCCCGTCGTCCCCCGCCTCCCAAACACACCCAGCCCCTTCCCTCCCCTTCCTGACGGGTAAGAAACATCCATTCTTTCCAATTCCCCAGCGTTTCCCCCCTACCGGAAATCTGATGGGCTTATGACATCATGGCTGGCTGCTGAGCGATGAAGTGGATGCCACAAAGAAATCCGACATTATCAGATGGATTCTGAAATCAGTTTCCCTCTGGCTGTAGTAACAGGCGTGGAGTCAGGAGAATATGAGCTTTGTTTAAAAAAACAAAAAATAAAACTAGGACCTGACCTGTATTAAATACAATTTCTTAAAGCAAACAGACCTTTTGGACATCATCCTATTTTAATAGAAAATGCTGGGTTTTATGAAACGAAAGCGGCTAATAAATCAGTCCTGAAGCTGCCTGTGAACATTCCATTTCTGTTGAGTTTTGTGTGTCCTTATTCACTAATAAAGGAGGAACTGGGAATGGTTTCTCTCCCTTCGTTATTCAAATGGGATAGCTTTTTTTTTTTTTTTTTGAGCCAATAAAATTCATTGGGTAAATTGCTGGTTTATGTTTTTCTAGGAATCCATTTTTATGGAGTGACCTTGGACCTGACCCGGTCTGCAAACATTGTATTTCCCTCTGCTGGTTTTTCTGGCTGTGAAACTGTTAAGAGGATGCAGTTAAGCCTGATTTTCAGTCTCCTCTCTGCAGGGCAGGGCCGGGACCTGGTGAGCCAGGTCGGTTCTTGGGATGAAAAACCACTTTGAAAGGATGAAGGAGGGGAACAGACAGTGAAGGGGCCTGTGACACGAGCCCCAGGGCAGCCTGGGAGGACGGATCCACTGTCTTCCCCATCCTCCCAAAGGGGAGCGAGGACCTCAGAAATAGCTCCAGGCTGATGCAGGACCTCAGAAATAGCTGAGCGAGGACCTCAGAAATAGCTCCAGGCTGAGCTCACCCCTGATGCAGGCTCAGGTTAGAGGAAGCTCTGGGTTCCAGGTGTTGTGCCTGCCAGGTCCCTAGTGCGGGCATGTGGAGTCTAAGGGACTGGGATTGGAGTCCTAGCTCCTCCATGGACAAGCTGTGGGGCCCTTCACCTTGCAGCCTCTGCCCCTGGGAGTGGGCATAACGACCCCACCTTGCCTGCTGGGAGAAACGTAGTGCTGGGTGCTCCACACGATGCCCGGCCACTTCAAAGGGCTCTGGGGTCTGTCTGAGAGCCGGGAGAGGCTGGGGGAGATTCTGGAGCTGAGTCCACTGCCTCGGTTTGTTCGTGTCCTGGCTCTGCCAGCCACCATCTGCGTGACGACATTGACCTGTGTGACGTTCTCTGTGCCTTGGTTTCCTCATTCGTCAAACCATAATAATAATCGGATGAACCTCATACACGGGGCAGTTGAGAGAACTAATGTAGTTAAGAGCTCACCAGGCGTTAGCTCTTACGTGAGACGTGCCCCTGAGCCCAGCAGGTGGGTTGCTGGGTGGGACTGTTGGGCCTGGGATGGGAGTGGTTGCGTCAAGCTGAGCACAGGTAGAGGATAATCGAGGACTAAATAGAGCACCGCTCCTCTCTCTGCACAGAACATTCCATGGCTCCCCACCGCCTAAAGGGAATAAAGTTCCCCTCCTTAACTGGGCCCCAGGTACGTCACACTTGGGCCTCATGCACTGTTCTCTCCCCTCATTTCTCTCTCGTTCTCCCAGCTGGAGCACACCGCCTTCTCTGGACTCAGTACTAATGGGTAGGTCACATTTTTGAGAACCTGCCATCACTTTATTCTGGGTACTTTACATGGATTAACTCATTTGATCCTCACACCAACCCATGCAGGGGATATGGTTATCATTCCTATTTTAGAGGAAAAGACAAGACTTCAGGGGTTAAGTATCTTGCCTCAGGTACCAGAGCGTGGATTGGAGCCAGGGGTTGGGCTCCTGCACCATCCACTTAACCCCAGCCCCACTGGCTCCATTGGGCCTTCCCCCTCCTGTTTCCCACCTCATCCCTAAAGCCAGAGCCCCCGCCTTCTCAGAATGCCCGCCCCATCTCTGTCTGTCAAGATTCTTATGCCACCTTGGCAAGAGGCCTTCCCAGACCACCCTCCAGCCATGTTATCCGAGGAATGCTGGCGGGGCCCATTGTGCCCCCCTCAGGATGCGGCTCTCGGTGGTTGGCCCGCGGGGCCCTGGTCCACCTTACCTACAGGTCAGGAGCTGTGCTATGGCCAGCTTTGTGTCCCTCACAAGGCACTCACTGACGACCTACTATGTGCAAGACGTGGGGACTCATACGGCAGGTGCCCACACCCAGCCTGGTCTTCTCTCCCAAACTCCAGGCCTGTCCAGCTGATGCCTTTTGCCTGCCACAGCTCCATTTGGATGGCCAGGGGGCAGCTTCGCCTCAGCAATCACAAACCGAGCTCTTGAAATTCATCTCCACAACCTTCCCCACCTCAGGTAACGGCACCTTCATTTTCCATTCAGTTCCTCCGGCCAAAAAACCTTGGGATCATCTTTGACTCCTGTCTCCCTCTCTTTTCATAATCTCAAGCTCTCTTTCTCTCCACCCCACCCTTACCCCCCATTCACCATCAGCAAATACTGTTGGTTCTACTTTCAAAATATACCAGCAGTTTGACCCCTTTTCCACCTGAACTGCCCACCTGTATGAGTGCAGCAGCCTCCTCATGGTTCTCCTGCTTCCCCCTCGGCCCCCTGGAATCCATTCTATGCAGCAGCCAGAGTGACCCTGCTGGAACTTAGGCCAGATCCTGCACTTCTCTGCCCCAAACCTAGCAATGGCTCCCAGTTCATTCAGGGTCAAAGCAGAGTCCTGCCTGGGGCCCCCGCTTGCTCCCTCTCTGCCCTCAGCTCCTGCCACCCCCCATCTTGCCCACTGACCTCCATCATACCATGTGTATTCTCACCTCAGGACCTTTGCACTTGCTGTTCCTTCTCCCCAGTATCTACTTCCTTCTGGTATTTACATCGATCAAATGTCACCTGCTCAGAGAGACTTTCCCTTACCTCCCTGCCCCATCCTCTCCCCACTGGGTTGTTCTTTCCCTGCTCTGTTGCTCCTCAGCAACTATTCCCACGTGACCTTATGTTATACATGTATGTGTCTATTACTAGAACGTAACCTGCACTAGGGCAGAGCCCCGCCTGTCTTCTCACTGCTGTATCCCTGATGCTTAATAAACATTTGTGGAATGAAAAGCTAGATGGATGGATTCCATGAAGGGACAGCAAATACTAAACACCTGGTCTGTATCAGGTTCTGTGCTGGGTGCTGAGGCGACACATGTGAACAGGACCTCCTGTGCCACCCACAGTGCCCTAGTCTGAGGAGGGAGACAGACGCCAAGCCAGAAATCATGAAGCAGGTGGAATGGGGTGGTGTCCGGGAATGAGCTCAGAGGAGGAATTGGTCCAGCCGGTCCGAGGGAGCTTCCTGGAGGAGGGGGCATACTCAGGGCCACCTGGGAGGTGAATAGAAATTGGGCAGGGAGGAGGGTCAGGCAGACAGGTAGGCAGTGTGCTCCAGGGGCTGAGGACCGGCCTGGTGGGCAGGTAACCTCATATTAAAGTCAATAGGGGTCAGGTGGGTGGAGAGAAGGGCAAGTTTTCCAGGTTGGGGTCACCATGTGGGGAAAGGCCCCGAGGTGGGAATGAGTGTGGGCAGCGTGGCTGGCGGAGATGGACTGAGGAGGGGCTTAAGCGCTGCCTGGAGAGGCGTTAGGCAGAGCAGCAGAGCCTGGGCTGGAATCCTGGCTCTTCCCCTCCAATGGTGTGATCCTGGATGCATCACTTCTCTTTTCAGCAGCTCAGTTTTCCCATCAGTGGACTCCTGACTATGTGCCTTTTCTGCTGCGTGTCCTGCCTCACAGAGAGGGTGAGACTTAAACCTGGAGGGAGGGATCCAGGGAAGAGAGGAGAATGCCAGGAAAAGCATGGTGAGCAGGGGGAACAGAATATGCAAAGACATGGGGCCTTTCTTCTGGATGTGTTTCTCCAGTCGCTCCCTCAGGGAGCAGCGAGGCAGGGAAGACAGTGAAAGGGGCAGCCTGGCTGTCCCCAGCGGAGGCCAGCCCTGGAGCATGCCTGGTTCTCCACTTGAGGGGCCAGCCAGCGTTGGCCTCACACTCGGGTGAGCACCACAGCCCTGAGACAGGCCCGCGAAGCTGGAGAAGCCAAGGCTCAGAGCAGAGAGGTGACTGGCAGCCACATTACCACATGGCTGGTAAGTGGCAGACAAGGGACTTGAATCCAGACCTACCTGTCCCCACTCCCTGCTGTCCTTTCACAAGACTGAGCCACCTGTGGGTGGGCCAGGTCTCGGGGAGCCAGGATCGCACAGGTCCATCACACAGGTGTGAGGAACCTGCTCATGCCAGGCTCTGAGACTGAGTCCCATGCCCCCACCGCAGGGCTGCCGTGATCAAGGCCACTTCCTCCTTTGGGGGAGGTGAGTCAGGCCTCTGGAAACCCTCTAAGCCTCTCCCCTTGGCTGGAACTTCTCTGAAGACTCTGGAAGCTCCTGGAATATTCCAGGTTTATTGACTCCCTGGAGCCTCCCAACCACCCCTCAAACAGGGGCTGTTGTTATCCCCATTTGACAGATCGGGAGACAGAGGCTCGGAGAGGAGCAGTTACCCAGGGGAGACACACAGGTTAAATGGGGAGGTCCTGCTGGGTTCATTCTCTGAGGCTGCTTTAGGGACAGAGGGCCTAGGCCATATACAGCTGAGAGCTGGTGCACGGGGCTAATTTCAGCCTACACTAAGAACTTTCTTCCAGGTATGCCCAAGATGGACACTTTGCAGGAGTTTCAACAACCTCTGCAAGTGGAGGGAGGGGAGATTAAAGTCGTGTTGGATTGAGCAGTCCAAGTTTCTTTGACCTCTCCAAGCTTCAGTTTCCTTATCTGTGAAATGGGGATATTAATACCTAGCTGTCAGAGGCATTAGGAGTCAAGGAGCCCACAAAAGGTGCCCAGTAAGCGCCACTGTCCCCTCCTGGGGCCCCCAAGCTTCCCCTATAACAGCCAAGCTTAGAGGGTGGAGTGGCAAAGGGGCCACCTCCAACAGCCCTGTGCCTGTGGAGCAGCCCCGCAGGCCCCGCTGCCTCCCTCACATGGGGAGCTGCGGGGGTAGGTCAGGCTAGGGGTTCCAGACAGCTGCCTCCTGGTCTCATGTGTCAGCTGGGCCGTGGGGTACCTTGAGTAACGGGGAGGCCCCACAATGACTTCTTTCTTTTTTTCTTCTTTTTCACTGCACCGCGCAGCTTAGTTCCCCGGACAGGGATGGAACCTGGGCCCCCTGCGGTGGAAGCGTGGAGTCCTAACCACTGGACTGCCAGGGAAGTCCCCCCGCACGATGACTTTTTGAAAAGCACAGCTTTGAGGGCAGACACAGGCCTCTTGCCACCACTGACACTGGCCTCCAGGAGGCAGGGCTCACATGTCATCTTCGTAATAACCTCACTGCTCTGAATCGCAGCCCCACCCAGGCTTAGCCCAGAGCCTCCCTGCCCTCCAGAGCTTCCTGGCTCCCTGGTTAGGAAATGGCTCAATGCCAGGACCCAGAGAGCTGGGGAAATCTCACTCCAATGGGCTCTGTCACGGTGCTCCAGGCAGTTGGTATTTATAGAGCACCTACTCTGTGCTAGAGACTTTCCTTACCTTTGCTCAAATAATTCTTGAGGTGGGCCTACCATCTCATGTCACAGGAGAGAAAGCCAAGGCTCAGGGAGAAGCAGCATCTGGGCTGAACAACATTGGAGCTGGGGTTCTATCCCCAGGGGTGAGCGTCCCCTGCATCCTGCGTCCCCTGGGCAGGGCAGTGGAAGGAGCATTGGCTTTGCAGCCCTGGAGTTTGGTGGGTGGTGGTGGGGACTCTGGGCTTTGCAGGAGGACAGATCCAGGCCCAGTCCTGACTCTGCCCTCGTGTTTTTGCACATTCTGTTCCCTCTGCTCACTATGCTCTTCCTGGCAGACTCCTCTCTACCCTGGGTCTCTCTTGGCTTAAGTCTCACCCTTTCTGTGAAGCAGGGCAGTGTAGCCAGGGATCCACAGGCTTGTTTTCAAATCCTGCCCCCGCCGAGCTTGGAAGGGAGAAGAATAAGGGACACAGCATGCAAACAGCGAACAGCACGGGCAGAGGCAAGAGGTTGTGAGTAGGCCCTTGAGAGCCGCATCAGCCGGGAGGGTGGAGCCAGGCAGAAGGGAGGAGGCCTGGGTTGGGCTGCCCTGTCACCATTCTGGGCCTTTGCCCAGGCTGCCTTCCCTGCCTGGCCTACCCTTCCCCTTCTCCTGTCCAAGCCGTCATGCCTTTAAGTCCCTGTGCAGTGGAGTTCCCTGTCCGTCTCTTCCTGAGCCACCCCTCTTCACATCCTCCTTCCCCAGTGTTCCCACGGCCCCAGGTGCCGCCTTGATGTGAGCAGTCGGTGTCTCAGGTCACGCAGGTTCGTGTCCTGCCTGTGCGTGGTAGGAAGGTCCTTGACTCAAATCTTGGCTCTGCCCCTCGCCCGTTGGGTGACCAGGGACAAGCCACTTCACTTCTCTGGTTTTTCCTCTGTAGGATGACAGCAGCTGCCCCCAACTCACAGGGTTCTCCAGGGGATTAAATGAGGTTGTGCTTGTAGAGCAGCAAACCACACCGCCTCCGACAGTCAGCCGGCTGGGACATACACGTTCGTGCACGTCATTATTAGTATCTGTGAGTCTCTTGAGGGTAGGGCCTTGTGTCTGGTGTCCTGCTCGCTGCAAGGCAGAAGCAGGGGGCTTGGCGATAGCTTCCAGCACAAACGGGCAGCCTGTTCTCCTGTGCAAATGTGAGATCTAATAAAGCTACCAGTAACCTACATAGTTATCGTGTATTGAATGCCTACTTCGTCTTGTTTAATCCTGACTAACCTTCAACGTGGGAATTGTTAGACCCAATTGGCAGATAGTATAATTGAGGCTTAGAGAGCTTAGGCCTGAAATGCAGAGGATAAGCAGCTGAGTCGGGTTTTGCACCTGCGTCGGGCTGTGCGTTGGTTAGGACTCTGTCCTGTTATGCCCTTTGCCGGGTAGTCCAGATGCCCCCTTCTCTCCCTCCTGGGTGCCCTTCCCCATCGCCAGGCCACCCCTTGGAGTCACTGGGGTGAGGGGATGTAGACGTCGGGACCCATGGTGATCTGTGTGTTCATGGGTCCTGTACCCTGTGGCACACGCACACACATGTGCCTGCAGTGCACATACATGCGCACACATACACTTGACCTCCGTGGCCAACAAGCTCCCCTCACCGGTCTCCAGAGCCACGTCTCTGCAACCGCAACGGCGTGAAGTCTGTGTGAAACGTTTGAGTCGAGCTGTCACTGCTCATCGATTTGTTGGCCTCAGTCCCCAAGCTGATTTCACCGGAGATCCTGTCAGCTCATCGTGCATGGGCCCCACCACCCAGCTCCCTGTCCCCAGTGCAGCGGGCGTGGCGAGGGAGGAGCCAGCACCCTCTATCCAGTCGCATCCGGCCCAGCACCTGGGAAGCCCGGGACCTTGCTGGGGGCCCTGGGCAGCTCACGTGACCTCTCTGAGCTCCAGTTTCAGTGACCCCATCCACTCTGTCTACCCGGTCAGGCGAGGATTAAAGGGGGAAGAACAGGAGAATGTAAGGTGGTGGCGGGGGTGGTATTCAGGGGAGTCCCAGCTGCTGGGGTCCACCTGGGCCCGCTGGGGAAGGTGCTTGCATAAACCATAAGTGGTTCTGAACCAAGTGGGGCGTGGGCCAGCCCTGGATCATCTTCCCTTGAACTCAGCTCTGGGAGCCACCGGTACCTGCACCCATCCCAGCAGCCTCTGAGAGGGTGTGGGCAGCCCTCAGGCAGGGGAGGGGCTTTGGGACTCTTCAAAGTAGCCGCATGGTGGGCCAGAGCTGCCAGTGGCCAGAGGATAAAGGCAGTGATGGGGCTGGGAGGACCTGCATGGGCGTTGAGCCTAGGGCAGGCCAGCTCAGGGAGGAGAAAGCCTGGACCCTGGAGAGGTTCACTCATTCCTTCCTTCATTCTGCACGTGTTTGTTGAGCACCTCATTTGTGCCATGCAGACCCCATGCTCAGTATTGGGTACAGGGCAGTGGACAAGACCCCTGCCCTCATGGAGATCACTTCCTGATGGAGGAACACAGACAAAAAACATAATAAGGAAGTAAAATATATCGTGGTCCAGAGTGATAAGTGCTAAGAAGAAAAATAAAACAGGGAAGGGAAACGAGGGGTGGATGGTTTGTTTTTTTTTTCATTAATAAATAAGGTGTCCAAGGAAGGTCTAATTGAGAAAGTGACATTTGAGCAAAGACGGCAAGGAGGTGAGGGGCTGAGTCAGATGGCTCTCTGGGGGAAGAGTATTCCAGCCCGAGGGATCAGCCAGGGCAATGGCCTGGAGCAGGGAGCGGGCCTCACACGGTCAAGGAATAGCAAGGAGGCCCGCGTGGCTGGAGGGGAGTGAGGGAGGGGGAGGCAGTAGCAGATGAGCTCAGAGAGGAAATGGGGGCCAGATGGTGAGGCCTCCTGGACTCACCATTTAAAAGGATCCCTCTGGCTGCTGAGTGGAGAAGAAACTGGGGGAGGGGCAAGGGCAGCACCAGGGAGACAGATAGGAGGCTGCTGAAAATAATCTAACAGGATTTGCTGATGGATTGGATGAGGGAGAGAGAGAGAGAGAGAGAGAGAGAGAGAGACAGGGAGCGCATGAGCAAGCAGAGGTGTCAAGGATGGCTCCAGAGAGTTCTGGTCAAACTGCTGGGAAGGCTGGCTGAGCCCAGAGGCTCAGCAGAGACCCTAAGGGAGGCCAGGGATGCTGTGAAGGGTGGGGGCGGCTGAGCCCCAAACAAGCAGATGCCGTGGCCAAGCGGGATCTCCAGCTTGGCAGCCCCTGGTGGATTAGAAAGCTGGGGCTTCCTGTGCCCATGGGGGCTACACGGATCCCAGCCCAGCCCCGGGAAGGGTCACCCTCTCTGTGCTCTGGACTGGGGGCTGGGCTTAAAGTGGTCCATGGCCCATATGAATCCTCTCCACACATCCTTCCTACCCGTCTACTCATCCATCCACTTACCCACCCACCACCCTTCCTCCCACCCATCCAGCCCCACCTCAGCACCCCAACTACCCGGGTGCTGTCCCAGACACTGGGCCTGTGTCCATGAACTCAGCAGACAAATCTCTGCTCTCGTGGACTGACATCTCATGTCCAGGCCTGAAGCAACTTCACGGGGCAGAATACGACCAAAGGATAGTCTTACTTCTTTCCAGTTTAAGGTCACTCAACAAGTTTGTGACTACATGTGATCTCATTGTTGAACATTTCTAAGTCGTTTCAAGCAAAGTCTCCATCACTAAAGCTCTTTGGTCAGGTCATGTCACTGGTTTGGGTTCCAGGAAAGACTGACAGAATTGAGGGCTCCGTGCTGCCAAGACTCAGGGAGGCAGGGATGGGGGGGTCCCGAGGAGGTGGTCTTTAGACCCGACACAGAGGGAGGGAGAGCGTTTGGGGTGGAAGCACGGCATACCCAAAGGCACAGGGTGCATGGGGGTGAGGGGATTCTGCAAAGCCAGGTGGGCTGACCACGGAGGGTCTCATAGGCCCTGATGGATCATCTGACCTTTGTTCTGAGGGCAGTGGGAAGCCATTGAAGGTCTCTGAGCTGGGGGATGGCCCACCCTGTGCTGGCAGCACCACGGAGGACGAATGAGAAAAGGCAAATTGTTTTGAGACGGTAGACCAGTGAGGAGGCTGTGGCCTTGAGCAGTAGGGATGCTGAGACCTGACCCAGGAGGATGAGGGGTCAAGGGGGATGGATATGGGATCGGGGGTAGATCTGGTAAGTGGGGTGCGGGTACCACTTGCTGAGTTCCCACAATTGGCCACTTCGGATAACCTCACACCAGACGTGGTCCTACTGCAGCGCACCTAACTTGGAAATGTCCCTATCCACACCTGGCCCTCTGCACCACCAGTACCTGGCGTCATCCTGGACCCCGTCTCCCCTCCATTGGTGCCGTCTCCAAGTCACTTTGATTTTGGCTCCCGGATTCTTCCCCGTGTATCCCTCCTCTGTGTCTGTACAGTCACAGGCTGGGCCCTGCTCCTCCAGGCTTGGACTAAGGCCATGGCCTCCCCCTGGCCTTATGCCTCCAGCCTTGTACTGCTACTCCATCCCCTGCAGAACAGCCAAAGAGATCTTTCTTGAACCTGAGTCTGGCACGCCACCCTCCTCATTCTCATGGTGTCCCATTGCCCTGAGGAGAGCCCACTCCGCACAGGCCCTCCTCGGCCTGCCTGCTCCCCTCTGGAGCCCGTGCTTCCCAACATGTTCAGCCTCAGACTGAACTTCTTGTTCCTGCTTCACTCGTTTGGCTACGGTTTATTGTGCGTGTACTCCGTGCTCGCACCATGCTTGCATCGAAGGTTGGGAACTGTGTGAGAGTAGAGAGACTGGGTCACGGGGTCTGGGAACAGGTAAGGCCTTTCTAAGGACCAGACATCTGAGCTGAGATCCAGAGGACGAGCAGGAGGTGGTGAGGGGGAGAGTGTTTCAGGAAGAAGGACTAGCTGGAGCAAAAGGCCTGAGGCAGACACCGGTGGGACTCATGGGAGGAAGCAGGGTGCTGTGCACATAGCAAGGCCTCCACTACCTGGTACCCCCCTTTGTCCAAAGTTGGCAGCTTGGGAGCAGCAGGGGCCAAGCCTGGGCAGGTGGCAGGGCCAACTCCTGGGGGCCTGTGGGGTAGACTGAAGTATGGGACATTTTCTCATTGAAAAAATTAGCTTCATTGAGATATTTATCATTTTTTAAAAAAAAGCTTTATTGCGATATAACTCACATACCATAAAATTCATCCTTTTAAAGTGTATAATTCGGGCTTCCCTGGTGGCGCAGTGGTTAAGAATATGCCTGCCAATGCAGGAGACACGGGTTCGAGCCCTGGTCCGGGAAGATCCCACATACCGCAGAGCAACTAAGCCCGTGAGCCACAACTACTGAGCCTGTGCCCTAGAGCCTTCGAGCCACAGCTACTGAAGCCCGCGCACCTACAGCCCGTGCTCCACGACAAGAGAAGCCACCGCAACGAGAAGCCCACGCACTGCAACGAAGACGCAACGCCGCCAAAAATAAATATATATATATTTTTTTAAGTGTATAATTCACTAGTTTTTAGCATATTTATAGAGTTGTGCAACCATTACCACTATCTGATTCTAGAGCACCTTCATCATCCCCCAAAGAAACTCTGTACCCATTAGTAATCCCTCCTCATTTCTCCCTACTCCCAGGGCTGAGTAACCACTAATCTACTTTCTGTCCCTATGGATTTGCCAATTCTGGGCATTTCACATAAATGGAATCAGACAATATGTGACCTTTCTTGTCTGGCTTCTTTCACTTAGCATAATTTTTTTTTTTTTTAAGATTCATTCATGTTGTATCATGAATCAGTACGTCATTCCTCTTTATGGCCAAATAATATTCCATTGAATGGATAGACCACATTTCCACATTTTATTCATCCATTCATCAGATGGGTTTTTTCCATTTGGGACCTATCGTGAATAACGCTGCTACAAACATTCCTTACAAATTGTTGTATGGATGTGTGTTTTCATTTCTCTTGAGTGGATACCTAGAGGTGGAATTGCTGGGTTATATAGTAACTCTTTTTTTTTTTTTTTTTAAACTTTCTGGCTGTGTCGCACGGCATGTGGGATCTTAGTTCCCCGACCAGGGATCGAACCCATGGCCCCTGCAGTGGAAGTGCAGAGTTTTAACCACTGGACCGCCAGGGAAGTCCCTGTATAGTAACTCTTTGTTTAACCTTTCGACAAGTGGCTAGACTGTTTTGCACAGTGGCTGCACCATTTTACATTCCTACCAGCTGTGTATGAGGGTCCCAGTTTCTCCACATCCTCTCAGCAACACTTGTTATTGCCTGTCTTTTGACTGCAGCCATCCCAGTGAGTGAGAAATGGTATCTCATTGTGGTTTTGGCTAATGACTGATGACGTCGGGCATCTTTTCATGTGCTTCTTGGCCATTTACACGTCTTCTTTAGAGAATGTCCGTTCCTATTCCTTGCCCATTTCAAAACTGGGTTATTTGTCCTTTTATTGTTTTTTGTTGTTTGTTTTGTTTGTTTGTTTATTGGCTGCTCCACGCGGCTTGCAGGATCTTAGTTCCCCAGCCAGGGACTGAACCCAGACCACGTGAGTGAAAGTGCCGAGTCCAGACCACTGGACCGACAGGGAATTCCTGTCCTTTTATTGTTGGGTTGTAAGAGGTCTTTATATTTCTGGATACAAATCCCTCATCAGGGAAAAGGAGTTGGGACACCAGGCTGAGGAGCCAGGCCCTGGGCTTCCCTGAGCTCCGCACTCCCAGTCCCGGCTGTCGTCTCCGAGGCCTCAGAGAGGGACTCCGGCGTCACCTTCCGCCTCCAGCTCCCTCGCGTCCACTGCCTTGACCCACTTGAGACACCGCACGATGAACACTTCACAGGAACTACGGTGTCTCCGCCCACCGGGGCCCGGGCCCAGCAGCTGGTTTTCATATCAAGGAGAAGGGAAAACGCCAATCCTTTCAGAGGTGACCGCAGAGAAGCTGCCACCTGTTCCACGCCCTCTGCAACACAGCCACAATCTCAGCTGCGACAGATCGGCTGCCTCTGCATCCCAGAGGTCAAGCCCGTAGCCTGCCCGGGCACCCGCCTGACAGGCAGGCAGCAGGGGCAAGACACAGGCTTGTCTGCGGGAGGGACGCCTGCCAGGGCAGCCACAGGCCCCTCGGGCCAGGCCCTCCCTCTCCCTGCTTATTTAAACTTTCCTGAACCTTCCACAGTTTGTAAGCTGAGCTCCTATAACTTTGAGAATCAAGGCAAATGGTAAAAAAAACAAAACCCAACCACGGCTGCTGGCTGACTTGGCTCAGACGTTGGGGAGTTCTTTTTCGGTGGCTGCCTGGAGCTGGGCGCTGGGCTGAAAACACAGGAGCAGTGCTGGCTGGGCCTGTCATGTGGGGGTCTCACCTCCCTCTACAACCATCTGGTCTGGGGTGTTTGGCCAGCCAGCAGCCCCCAGCCTCGTGCCATTGCTTGTGACTCAGTGTGTATCGGGGGGAAGTGGGGGTGGGGAGGGAGGTTGGCTCTGGACCACTGCAAAGCTGCTGCCCTCAGGGGCACAGGTACAAAGAGGGAAAGGGGCCTGACAGTTCAAGGAGAGGGGTCCCAGGCACAGCTGAGGCCTGAGGTGCAGCCTCGGGAAGCTAGGGAGGGATCTACAGGTGGGAGAGTTCTGAACTGTCCTTCAAGGAGGGTTAGGATGTCAAAAAGGCAGTAAAGGCATTCAGGCAGAGGACAGCAAGCACGAAGGCCTGGCACACTGGGGAACTAACTGGTCGGGGCTGTTATCTCAGGGGTGGACAGAAGCAGGTGAAAAGCCAGATGAGGCTGCCTGTCCCTGGGCCCCTGGTGCCTCGCCATGGGCCCACCTGCCCCGCGAAGCTCCTAAGCGCTAAGGAACCCTCCTGTCCCCGTCCCTAACTTTTGCC